AATTCTCAACATTTTTCAACATCCTCGTATAACAGTATGTCACAACCGACTACGCCACACATAAATGGTCTAAATTTACAGAGATCTATAGAAGGATCGTTTTATAGAAATCTCCACCTATGTACATATTCTGTGCGCGTAATAGTTGTCTCAACAAAAGTTTAAGTGGGATGTCACGTTGCTCGATATAGTAAGAGTTCATGTACAAGTGTGAAAGGCCTATCGCCTATCGGATTCACAAAGATTCAATGGAAAGGAAAGTCAGGAACGATGATAGGAGCAAAAGAGAAAGAGAGAGAGAGTGGAGATATGGTAGGTAGGCGGATACGCAACTATACAAAGACAATGTGTTTGTTGTCGATTAGCGGGAGGACGAGGTGAGGTTTTTACGAGAGTTTGGGACGGACCCCGAACCGGTGAAGCGTAGTCGTTTACAGCCGGAAAGAATCGGGGCCCGTGGCCCAAATGACCCTTACCACCCTCTCCAGCTCCCCCCTTCCACTCTACCATCAGCCAACCTGCACCGAGATTTACGGCAATTCGCTTTTTGCCTCCTTTAAGAGCTTTCGTATTATCTTACTGCCGCTGTTTCTGCTTCCTCTTGCGAGTAAACCTACTTTACCTCCCGCCTACAAATTCTTCTCCTTTTCCTCTTCTCTCCTCAGCTCGTGCCTTCATCCGACGGTATCTTCCTCCTCTTCGATACGAACGAGTATATTTGTACAAGTAAGTACGAGCGGATACAGGTGTAACGCAGACACGAATGCAATGGAACACCTGAGTCCGTAATTATTTCGGAAGAGGGAGAGGGAGAGCACTGCCGGGAGACTTTAATTATGTCAAATTCGATTAGATCGATATGTGTGTGCGTGCGTGCGTGTGCGTGCGCGCGCGCGCGCGTGTGTGTGTATGTGTGTGTGTGTGTGTGTGTGTGTGCGCGTGCGGATCGTAGAAAGTTTTCTCCTTACAAGATTGTCTTCACAAGACTATGAAAGTCCTGCCTGAATCTAAAAGCGCAATTTTTCAAAATAGCAAATTCTTAAAACGGTGAATATACATTTCTCTTGGGTGGCAAGTCATAATGTTTTTTTTATCGACAAAGTGAATTATATTATATGTACGTACACTGTTTGTGTGCTAAATAAAGGTCAAAGATCAAAAGTGAAAGGCTTGCATTAGATTGAACTAATTTAGGAATAAAATATTTATTGGCATATAATGTTAGATTTGAACGATAAATGATTGTTCGATCGATTTTCAAGTTAAAGTGAAAGGCCGTAGACGTTCGATCGTTTAATAACGAATCTATCTAAACGACTAATTGGATTCGGCTAATGTCTAGTGCTTTCAGAGGCATCTTGTGATATATCACCGAGATATGAGAACAGAAAATCTAATTAATATAACAGCTTTCTAATAATCTCTTGTTGAATTATTATGCTTCTTAAAATGTATCTAGTATAATCAGTGTATTTGTATACGTTTCTTTTCGTTCGTACATCAACCGGAACGATCGATAGCTGTGCAAGAATGCGATACCGTTCGACTCGCCGTCATCGTCACATTCCACGACACGCGGGAATCTCTGGCTGTGTAGAATTCTAAGATCTCCTCTGACGTCTGCTTAATTAATTACCATCCGCGGTTTTAATTAGCCGGGGCTGCTGCCTGCGTTCCCCTGGCCTCCCTTCCATCTCTACTTCCCACCCGTTGCCCCTCTTTTCACATCGTTCCGTCTCGGTTCTGGTCGTGGAAAATCGTGAGTTACATTAGCGAGATCTCCTACAATTATACGCACGCATACGTCGCTATTTCGAACCGACCGTAACGTGTCCACACCTTCAACATGCATCAGATGGCTGTTATTCTTCGCAACGCATAAGTACGCATAAATGCGTAACGTGCAGTAGTTTTTATTATATAAATTACAATGGCGATATTTCATGCAAAAACGTTCTCGCGTTCACAAGCAGCAGAGCAAATGCATAAAAATTACATTAGTTAAAATTATCTATTTACAGAGAGCGACTGTACGACCCATAAAAGCCTTTCCGGCTAATGACCGATTCAATCTTCAAAGATATTTGACAACATCAAATTGTTGACAATTACCTAAATACACTTGATTTACTTTCAGTATCGACAACGTGAATTAGCACTGACGACAGTTAAATTACTTCTACTTTTAACGAGCCATGAAAAATCGATCGTCAATTTAACACTCGTTAACGAGAATTTGAGAAAGGTTGTTGAACTCGGCCATAAGAGTCGTTTACTTCATCAAATCCTATTGAACTCCATCGAATCATTATCCATCCTTACGTGCACTGATGTTTTCAAATTCTCTACAATTTCCGTTTGCTCAAAAATATTACATTTTCTAACTTGAGTTATATTCCAACATAATTAGAGTAATACGTCATTTACAATTAAAGTACCAAAGATCCAATGTCAATCCGTGTGTCAATTGTCAAGAAGAAAAAAAAAGACAAGAGGCGAACATGAAGGGAATGTTAATTTAATATGCACCAGTGCAATCATTGTTTATTGTTATGTGTGCTAATGGAATTTTAAGGGTTCATAGGGTTCCACTTCGTTTCGAGGGGATTTTGCTAATTCCGCGCTAGGGTGGTTTTAACCGTGGGTTATAGCACAAAAAGAGAGCGAGAAAGTGAGAGAATTAAGAATATGCAATTTCTTACGAGAGAGAGAGAGAGAGAGAGAGAGAGAGAGAGAGAGAGAGAGAGAGAGAATTCAACATCTTGTAAGTTCAGGTAATCTCAATGTTCCTGATACGTTTCTACTTCGCCATTTTCTATTCGCTATTTCAACCAAGAAATTTACATATCATTTAAAACGTTCCGTACCGTTATAAAATTTTAAAATATTCAATTACATTCTGTCGCCCTCGTTCGTTGAATTACCTTGAATATCCATAATATCGATAAATATGTACATCATATTATTATTATCATTAACGTAATCGTAGCGATTGAAGATGCTTTCCATTAATCAGCTGGTGACAATATTGA